CGCCATTCTCTTATCCCGTTTTGTGCAACGTGTCGGTTCAGCATCCGCAGCAATAGAAAAACGTCTGCGGCGCACTTAGACACCATCTCCCTCCACCGCGACGAAATTTCCGTAAAATATTTTTCAATCGTTCTGGGTGGTGGGGCTCCATGCACTGCAAGCGTCGCCCACTGCCTATTGTACGGAATGAAGCGAACAGAACCACCATCCGTGAGTTCAGAAATAACTTCAGGCGTGGCGCCACCCTTCTTCAGGCTGTCCTCGTGTGCCACAACGACGAGGTTCCCCTTCTGTGCCAAAACACTTTCACGGAGACGGAAGAGCAACTGCGGAGAAAGTGTCACGCCCTGGTTAACGTAAAGCAAAAATGTCATTCGGCGACGCGTCAGGTTGGCCCCCCCCCCCCCCCCCCCCCCGCCTTCCTTTTAGTCCTGTTTGCATTTGTGACACCAGTGCCAGTCCATACAGCCAGTAAAGGAAGGAAAGGGTGTGTGAGAGGAGTATCGTTTGCTTCGAGGAAGTGGAAGTATTCTTTTTTCTCTTTGTGAGCGAGAGTAAGAGGGAGAGAGAAAGAGGGTTGCTTTTTTTTTTTTTTTTTGCAACATATATACACACACACACACACTGGTGTCACCACCGCCTCGTTGGGGAAAGGAGCAGACATAGAAAAGGTACGTCGTCCAGTCATGCTTCCAGCTGCCACCCGTGAAGGCCCAGTGCGGTGGAATACGCTGCTGCACGACTTGTTGCACGACGTCGGATTGGCCCCCACTCCCGCTGTGGTGACATCACTTAACGCCCTCACGTCGTATGCGGCATCCCCACTCACTCTCTACAGCGATCCCGTCACGGGATCCCGCGCCGTGAAGTTGCACAGCTCTCTCTTGCTCGCCCTACACATGACAACATCCTCGTGGCCAACTGAGCTGGTGGAGAAACTTGCATTACCTTCTGTCCATATAGGGGATCGCAACGTTTCCGTGAGTGGTCCAGCGATGGAGATGTTTGTTCTTTTTTACAACGCTGCTGTAACTAACTGTAATGCGGGCATTGCATTCATGGAGCGCGTGCATGCCCATTATGCCCGCAGTTTGACGCCCAGCTCCTGTCCGAGTGCCTCCCTCAACGGGGACACCAGAGCCGCGTTTAAGAGTTTTCAACTAGGGGCTGAAATTGCGACGTACGGAGAGCAAGCGCTGGCGGAGGAATCGGACAAACTGCTTTCAGCGACTGACTGTTACCTCGTTCAGACGCACTTTGATTTTCGTACTCTCCGTGAGATGGCAGAATTATGTATGGCTGTTGCAAAGTACGTGCACGCCGCCACCTCCGGTAATTTCTCAGAGAAACACGACTCACTTGCGAAGCTCGCCCACAAGGCATACACGGTGAGGCTTCCCTCGGCCTACACCTCGGAGTCTCTTCGTTTCCTGCCGGCGTTGCTTCTTGCGGCGTACCACCGTCACCGGGCAGAGCACTACAACAAAGCAGCGAAGGTTCCGGACATGTCACTTGTTCTTGGACACATTACGTATGCCAGAAAACTTGTCAACAACGTGGAGCTGGAGTTCATGAACAGCATTGCGTCATCATCGTCCTCCAATAAAAATATGAGGCCGAGCGGTGGCTGGCAGCTGCTTGGACGTTTGAGTGCTACTATTTTAGGTACTAGAGCGTCCAAGAACGATGCTGAAATGGATGATGACAGCTCGCCAGAACAGTCCTTTAGAAAACTTGCGGAGATGCTAGAGGGGTCGGATTTGCTGAGGGTCTTTCCACTTGCCCACATTCTCCTTCGCGAAATCGCCGCGCTCTATGAGAAGTACCAACATGAGAACAGTGTTGTGTACTACATGCGACCGGCGAAAGAGAAGGACGTGATCGCCGACGCGCCCGAAATAGAGCCCTTGGACCGCACCGCCACTCCTCCCAATTTTGTACCTCTGGCCATTCAACTCTCAGCAGACGTGACAAAATTTGACGAGCTACCTGCAGTGGAAAAGTTGCGGGAAATGTTACTGCAACGGGAGGCAGCCCGTGAGATGCGGGAAGGGGTGCAGAAGCAAATTGAGGAGGTACAAGAGCTTGTTCATAAAATGGAATTGGCGTTGGTGTTGCCGTCGAATGTGGAATCAGATTTAGCTCGTCTCGAGGGGCTGTTGTATAAGAAAAAAGGGATCATTGTGACGCTTGACGAACGGTTTGAAGAAGCATACGAGTCTGTCTCACGTGCCCTGGGGCGGTACGACAATGCAAATGAAGATTTGTCTCGTGCCAAGGGTGAGTACTCTGGCAAGAGCGTCTCTGGTGTGGGGGATAGCACCTTGCTGAATCAGCGTGAACGAGCCTGGCGCAGGAAGGCAGATGCCGTACGCGCTGCGTTTGTGAAGGAGCTGCCATTTTTTGGTGATGTGGCGTTGCGGGAGACCCTGTTGCTTCCTGGTGGAACGGGGCTGCGTTTGTGCATAACACAAGCAAAGCTCGCTGTGGCAAGGGCGAAGGAAACGCTTGCGTGGGACGCTACTCCCAGTGATGCCTTCGCCGTTCACTTGGCAGAGTTGAAAGAAGTGAGGAAAGAATCTGTCGCTGCGCTCGAGCAGATGGTCCCACTCTGCACAGAGAGTCGCTGGGAGCGTGTTTCTCGCGCCCTATCCGATGCGGCGGAGGTCATCACCGCGGCAGAGGAATTTGTGGAGACGACGGAGAATGAGGTACGGATGGCTGAGACGTTGAAGAGCCGCGCCGTCCCTGCAGCCCAGCGCCTCCCGCAAGGTGCATGCGTCTTCTCCCAAGGGTTGCGACAGCAGCAGCAGATGCACAGCACTTCTCCGTCAATGCGGGCGGGAAGGCGCGTCAAGCGTGGTTTATCGCCGGAGCTGCAGAGCGACGAGGAGGAAAAAGAGGAAAAAGAAGAAAAAGAGAGTGGGAGAAAATTAGCTGAGTTGCCAAAGCCGCCGCGACAAAGAAGAGCCGAACAGCGCCGAAAGGTGAGCAGAAAAACAGAGCGGCAGACGGAGGATGAGGAGGAGGACCGCTCGCCTCCTTTGCTGCCGAGGACGGGAAAAGGAACAGCGCGCAATGCGAATGCGACTGAATTGGCCGGTGGCAAGGAGGAGATAAGAGTCCCCGAGGCGATTGCTTCTGCATCGCTTCTTCAGCGCCTTCGGCTTCGACAACAGGAATTGGAAGGGGAGGAGTAGAAAAAATAGAAAGATAGTGGTTAGAGGGAAAAGGAATTCCAACAAAAACGGCGGCGCTATTGGCCGTCGATAAGAAGAGGAGGGCGGTTAGCTCACGTCTTCCCCACCGCCTGCAATAAAGTGTGTAAGAGGGGAGAAGAGGGAAAGAGAGACGTTGTCTAAGGACAGAAAGAGAGAGGAAGGGGAGGAATTGATAAAAAATGAAAAAAAAAGGGGGAATAAATGGGTGTTTTTGTAGATAATAATAAAAATTTAGTCGTTCCTCTTTACCTTTTTTTTTTGTTGTTGTTGTTGTTTTGTCCTCTCTGTGTTGTGTTCTTATTGTTGCCTTCTCTAGTGGTGATAAGGGGAACAGCAGGAAGTAGCACGATCAGGGGAGGCGAATAGGCGCCGTTTCAAAACGAGGCCGGAAGCTCGTTATGGTACTGCAGCACCTCGATCTCCTGCGACGCAAGCGTATCGTGCTTGCCTCTGCTTCGCCGCGCCGACGGGAGATAATTGCAGGGGTTGGCCTGCACCACATCGAGGTGTGTGCATCTGGCTTTGCGGAGGATTTGTCCAAGGATGAATTTACCTGCGGCGGTGACTATGCATTGCGCACCGCCCGACGGAAGGCGGAGGAAGTCGTGCGTCAACTACAGCGGCAGCAGCAGCAGCAACAGGAACTCAGCGGAAGGGAAGAGAAGGGAAATGCTTCTGACACTCCGTCGCCGTTCGATATTCTCATCGCGGCGGATACGGTGGTCACAATGCCGGCGCCACACGGTGGGGTTGTCATCATTGAAAAGCCTGCCACAGCGGAGGAGGCGGCGGCGATGTTGCGTCTTTTTTCTGGTACTCAACACGAAGTGTGGAGTGGTGTTGTGCTGACGGTGCGTGACGAGGAGAGCAGAAGCAGCATTGGTGGGGACGGGGGTGATAGACTTTGCTGGCGTGAGATAAAGGTGCGCACGACGGTTAAATTTGCACCGTTGGTCGAGGAGGAGATCGCCGCGTATACTTCAGAACGCTGCAATTGGGAGGGGAAGGCTGGCGGCTACGGAATTCAGGACACCGCGGCGTGCCTCATTACCGCAATTGATGGCGATTACTACAATGTGATGGGGCTTCCGTTACAGGCAGTGTGCGCCGAGCTGGACCGACTCATACATGACGGCATTGTACGGTAACACGGGGGGACTGTTGTGCGATGAGTGGAGTGGCGCGGCAGGGAAGGAGGGATACGAAGAGGTGTGTGGGGGGTGCCAAAACAAAAGACCGAACAAAATGGAATGTGAATTGGGCTCTGTTTGTCTGTGCGTGTGTGTAAAACCTTTCTCTTTGTCTTTAAAAGGAGTGAGAAGGGCCCAGTTTTCTTGTGATTTTGTTGTTGTTGTTGTAGTTGTAGTTGCTATTGTTGCTTCCTTTGTTTCCCTCCCTCCGCCTTATCTGTCTCTTTTTCCCTCTCTCTCTGGTCGTTGCTCTTCTGACGACGGTCCTCACAGCACCCACCTGGTGAAAGGCTTTAAACATTTGCTGGGAAATGGGTAACACGTGTGCGCCGCAAAAGGGGCCGCGCTTCAAGAACTTTGTAATAGCCGTTTACTCCGATGACCCACACAACGGGCCTGTTAGAGAAGCGCTTGGCAAGCTGCAGAATTACATTGCGAGCAATCCGGAGCGCATCCCACGTGTCTGCCGCAAGATATCCAAGTTACTGACCATATATCTCAAGCGACAGAAGGTGCATCGTGTTATGGTAGGGGTGCAGATGCTGCGGGATTTAATTGCGCAATTCGATGATGTTAGTGGATTTGTGCCGCACTGCATTAGCATTTGCTCCATGCTGTTTTCTTACTCCACAGTAGAGTACCGCATCGGTGCGGCGGATGTGCTGACTATCTTATGTTACAAACTTGCGGGTCGTGTGGATGGCGAGCACTCTTGTCGCCTTCTTACGGACAGTAAAGGGAAACTACTTCCTGCACTGGAGACCATGTGTTTAGAGACAGTATCAAATGATGATGCTGCCACACTGCGGTGTCGTTATGCCGCAGTTGTGGCACTAGGGAACGTTATATTTTGTCTACATGGCGCCTTGGCGAACAATGTCAATTGCCACATAATGCCATTCTTGCGCAACCTTATGAATGCGATGCGCAGTGGGGAGAAACCTGAATGGATAGAGCGTGAACCATTCACGGTGCTCCAACAGCACATCAAAAGTGGTCCATTCGACAGCGTTGCACTTCCGGCCGAACGGAGGCAACGCGATATTGCGTGCATAAGTGCAGCGTCATGGGGTATTGGAGCAGTGGTTGGCTGCGTGTCAATTGCCGGAATCCATCAATTCTTGCAGCTTGTCTTGGAGTTCATTGTGTCTCATGACGGATGGTCGTTGCCGGGGTTTGCATTTATCACGTTTCGGTCATTGGTACGGGCGTTGGAATGGCGGCCGCAGCAGCTTGGCTTCACGGTCTGCCAGTACTTATGCGAAACAGTCATTGCACCCCGAAAAAAGGAGGAGGAGGCGGCAAATGTGCAGGAGGGCATCATTCGTGCTCTTATTGTTTGCACGAACGAGGTACGCATGACAGGTGGGCGTCCGCAG